TACTACCGGTTGTCCGAGGCTCGAGAATGATCGGGCTACCGGTAGTCTGAGCCTCGGACTTGATAGTTGGGCGAGGTACTGATGGTTTAAGTGCAAAAATCATCCAACTCACACTCCATTTTATGCATGTATATTACACCACTCACATTCATCATGATAGTAATACGACTTTATCAATGGGAGAAGCGTTCATTCATGCAAGGAAAGGACTCCATCAAGTAACAAAAACTCATAAAGTAGACACAAAAAAGGATAGCCGCGAAGAAAAAGATGAGGGAAGACAATTTAGAATTGAGACTCCACGTTCGAAAGTTTTACAGTCACTGTGTCAATACAAGAAGAAAAACCATAGCTACAAACATAGGCAGACAGTACCCGTTTATATGGATTATTGTCAGCGTTTATCCCAACCTTGGGCCTAGCACTACTTGTTACGGTATCGGACTTCTACCTTGTACATATGAGGATCGAGGCTAGTGACCGGTGACGAAGATGCAAAGGAGCCGATGGTCCAAGGGATTGGTGGGTGTGAGCGATGGAGCGCGGTGTAATAGATCATTTTATGGTATCTGACCGCCAATTGGAATTCCTCGCAGCCTCGGCGAAAGCATGCAAACGGAGTCACCGTGACCGTAGACAAAGTTTGAGTTTTCAACACTAAAACGGCAAAGGCGCGGCTTTGGCGTAGGGAATACTGCGTACGGCCGCCATGAGCGACACCAGGGGCCCTTGTGCGGTGAATCCCAGGGTTCCGCGACCGTAGTTTTGGTCAGTAGGCCAAGGTATGACTTCAAGTTTGGGGCATTTGGGTAGGCCCACGCAAGAGACAGTACCCGTTTATATGGATTATTGTTATTGTTTATCCCAACCTTGGGCCTAGCACTACTGATTACGGTATCGAACTTCTACCTCGTAGATATGGGGATCGAGGCTAGTGACCGGTGACGAAGATGCAAAGGAGCCGATGGTCCAAGGGATTGGTGGGTGTGAGCGATCGCCGCACCCACCAAAGGAGCTGACGTCTAGACAGTGTGTACAGTTGAGAACCCAATCCACGTACTCTCCCTACATACTACAGCAGTGCAAACAGGGCCCCATTCACTACCATTGCCCTACCGTAGATTGATAGGTGAGGAGCTTTACCCCACGACACAACCCTCTACGTGACCCTTTGCAGCAGGATTCCATCCTGGGCGTCTGCACAGTTCGACAGAGCTATTTGGACTCCCAAAAAGCGTATTGACTCATTGGCTTCAATGCGCTTCATTCCCCACTGCACTACTAATGAGAATTTCGTTGGGAGGATGAAGATTGACTTGTGCCAGTTTATGGCTGCTTCAAACAATTAGGCGTACTCGTCCAGACAACCTTTCAGGCTGTGAGTGACTGAGTGATATTTTCCACTACAGCAAATAAGTCGTCAGCCAAGGCTTTAACCTTATAGGGGGTTGGGCCCACTTGAAGACCGATTATTTGTGTATGTGCCCGGATATTATTAAGAATCCCTTCCATTTGAATAACAAACAATAGCGGGGTCAGCGGACAGCCCTCACGTAGAGACCTGGTGAGGGGGAATTCCTGAGATACCCGACCATTAATCATGACTGCAGCGGTGGAAAGAGTGTATAGAGATGATACCCAGGTGCATAAATTTTTCCCAAATCCCATCCAGTCCAAAGTTGAGAGAACATACGACCATTTTACACGATCATATGCTTTTTCCAGGTCCAGTAGGAGGACTGCCATATCGAGCTACTCATTCTAAATTACCTCCAATGTTTCTATCGCCGTAACAATGTTATCGAAGATAGAACGTCCCTTGATAAAGGCAGCTTGGTCAAACAGTACTGAATCTGGAAGGTACCGAGCCAAACATCTCGTCAACAATTTGACCAAGATTTTGTATGACACGTTAAGAACAGATATGGGGCGCCAGTTCCGGATTTCAGTTCTATCACCTTTCTTAAAAAGGATCAATATAATACCACAACACATATTCAGTGCTAATCTCCCACCTGTCAAAACCTCATTGTAAATTTCAACCAACTTATCTCCTACCACATCCCATATAGCCAGGTACAGTTCAACAGGCAAACCATCATCCCCTGGAGCTTTACCTGATGTCATTGCCTTGAGAGCCTCATGAGCTTCGATAATCGAAACCGGTCTGTACAGGTCTAACCTACTAACGTGAGAGAGTCTAGCTTCTGTGTTAATACAGTGTTGTGAATCCTTGTGGAGATCGGATCAGGTGGTAGCTCCCTGTGTTCTAGAGGTTAAGATATCCCTGTAATATAACGCAGCGTAATTACAGAGATCGGTTAGTTCTTTCGCTACCGAAGCGACCTCGTCAAACGGATGCTTTAGCTCTTTCATGGGAACAGTGGCTCTTTTCGGGAGTAGCTTATAGAAGGCTTCCTTTGTCATGCGATCATATACCGCAATGCCTTTGATGCGCAGTTGGTCTGCCTAGATTTCAGACTGTATACACTCAAGTTCGTTCTATTCTGCCAACAGCCTGTTCCTTTCTATACCCCACACTTTCTCTGAAACTGGATGTTCCAGCATTCTCGACTCAGCATATACTATCCTTTTTTGGATTTCAACTACTCATTTATTCCGTGTATAGGCCAGCAAACGGGAGATGACACATAGGAGGTTGGAGAATATCCGTGACCCTGAGTTCCACCATTCTGCCGTAGATTGGTAGTCGCTTCGTGACTTCTTCCAATCCTTCCAAAAACCTTTCATCCATGATGTAAGTCCTGGTTCCTTAAGATTCTCGGTATTAAACCGAAATAAACCTTTACCACGTGAGACTTCAAATGTATGCAAAGAGAGAATCACTGGTTTGTGATCCGATAAATAGTGGGCTGATTCCTGTACCTTGTCTACCACCTGCCATAACGAGGAGGAGATCAGAAAGTAGTCAAGTCTTAGTTTGGTGATTCCCGTATTCTCCCGATAATAAGAGAACCAAGTGTAGCCCGGAGTTTCAGGGTGAGACAAACAAAAGTGATCAATTACTTTTAATTCTTCCATAGTCATGGTGAGAGAGTTTGTCTCTGATCCTCCTGCCCGAAAGGTCATCCATCGAGGTATTCCAATCGCCAGCAAGAACTAAGTTATCAGCCTCAGGAATAATTAATAACAGGTCCTGAAAAAAGTTAGCACGGGGAATCTCTTCTGTAGGGGCATAAATTGATGCGATCACCTAGTAGGAACCGTTTATAAAACATTTCACCCAGGACCACCGCCCCCAGATATCGGAGTAAAAGTCTATTATCTCCAATTCTGCTTTCTTGTGAATCAGGATTGCAGTGCCCCCTTTTGACCCAATCGCGGACGCCCACAATTGAGGGTCATCCCACCAATTCAGAAGACATGTAATCTTATCCTCAGGTAATTTAGTTTCTTGCAGGCACATTATTTGAATGCTCTTGTAGAAGATCCATGATTTTAGATTGTCTCTCTTGTGACGACCTCCCCCATCACCCAGCCCTCTAACGTTCCACGACCCAATTTTAATTTTGCCCATCTACATCCTATCTCCGACCAGTTGATTGGATGAGAGAGCCCCGAGATGCGGGCAACCAAGCTGAAGTTAACATTGACCTGACATACGGAGAAAGAAGTTTTTTGTCTTTCAACAGTTTGCCATCTACCTCCGCTAGTCGCTCGGCAGACTGTAGAGGGGGCATTTTCAGCCTACGAAGCTCCGTTTTTCGAGATTCACCAAACCATGTCAAGGGAACAAGGCGTATGTCTTCTTCTTCCAGTTTTTCCAATTGACCGACCACGAATCTTGCATCTATGATTGGTACGAAAAATTTAATCCTTTTGCTTTCCCCTTCCGTCTCCACAATCAATCTGGGCATCGCCATATCGGGAATGATACGAAATAAAAAACGATCGTTGATGGTCGTTCTAACCAGCGTGACTAACGCATAGGGCATTAGTTGTTCTGGACCTGGAATACTTACCATCTGTAATGAGTTGTCCGAGGATGGCCAAGCAATAACCCATAGAGAGTTCCTGGCATAAGTACAAAAGAGCGGCAATATCTTGTTCTCAACTTGTTGAAGCTGGCCTCTACCAAGGGAGGCCAAAACTCTCCTTTTCCCTGAGTGGCTGCCTGGTATGTCCGCCGCTTTCATCCTTCCAGTGGAATCCTTTGATCTTGGGATTGATGTGTCTGATGCTTTCCCTCCTTCCGGAAGACCACTTGCGATGAAGCTTCCTTCTATATCGAGACGTCTCTGCTTCCCTGCAGTACCCGATCGTGGTCTTAGTACTCCAGTACTATCCTTCTGCCTTGGCGTAGATTCACGTTCAAGATTAAGTCCAGCAGCGTTGTTGGCGGACAAGTTGCCGCCTGCGGCCCTGTCTGCCGGTCCCACTGCACTTCCCGACAACCCTCCTTCTCCTCCTCCACCTCCCATCTTGGGAGGGTAGGATGGGATAGTCATTTTCACTCCGCCCATTCGTACCGCTCCGCCCAATCCTACCTGTTGCTGAGATTGAGTTGTACCCACAACCCCATTGAAGGGGGGTACATAGCCCCCTTGTTGAAATGTCCGAAATGACATCCAGGGCATGAAAGCACCTCCAGTCCAGCTTGGCATGCCGTACTGATGGTGTGAGTGGGGTTGCACCCATGGTTGACCTTCCCTCTGTCCGTTGGAGTGCCCGCCTGAGCCGGGTGGATGAGTTGGAGAGAACATTGGATTGAGATGAGCGTTGACAAACGACTGACTTCCTCCTTGAGCATTGGTTGGATTGATATGCAGTGCTGCCATCGAGGGGGAGAGCCCCAAAGGGCCCATAGGCCCTTGATATCCTTGGTTCGAAGATAACTGTTGACCGCCACTAGCAGGTTGGCTGTTTTGTTGATTTTGTCACGCCCCTCTCCTGCATTCATTGTCGGTGTGAAAGAACGCTCGACATCGTCTGCACCTTGGAGTTTCCGATGACGCTAACTTGACTTCCAGTTCGTCGCCTTCTGGAGTAATTACCCAGATCTTGTCCTTCATATTAGGACGAGAAGCCGGGTCAATATCGAATTTGACGTTGACGAGTGAGGGCTTGAGGCGGTCTGGTTCCGTTGGATGTTTACGGATTATGGGGCCAATTGCCCTTGCCACTTGTGCCTCTAGGTACAAAAACGAATCCAGAGGCACTTGGACAACAGTAACCCAGAAGGTAAGAGCGTCCTCCTCTCGATGTTGCTCCCGGAGCTGAGCTTTTGACATCCATGGTTTGAACTCCAGCTTGTAGGTGTCCTGACCAATAGTGATGTCGTCATGTCCTTTGGTAACCATCCACGTTGCAATCGCTCTTGATTTCGCCATGTAGGAGACCACATTTGGACTCTCCACTTTCACCCTTCCACGTCTAAAAGTTGCCGTGTCAAAACTACCGTCCTGAATTTTGTCGTCTTCAAAGGCACGTACGATATCGTCCTTAACTTTCTTGGGGAGAAATCTCACCCGTTCTCGAAAGATTACAGTCACGGTGTGTTCCTTCAACCAAGCTATCTTCACTCTATCTATGTGCTCGTTAACTCTAAACCTCACCTCTCTTCCTTCCACTGTCATCTCACCTGGATCTATATTAGAGGGCATAATCCCTTCCTCATAACACAACCGCATCAGTTCTCTGAGCCTCTCATCTTCGTCCCTATCCCCTCCCGGGTCGCGGGGGGGAGACCGAGCACCTTATTGATGTGCATCGTCTTCCATCCCAACTTTCCCCGTGTATCTATAGACCTCTCAAAGCGAACACCAATACCGGGGAGAGTAAATAGACCGTCGTAGCAGAAAGCAATTAGGCAGTCGTAGCAGAATTTTGACAAAATCTAGAGACAATGTTAATCTACACTCAATATGAGCTAAATCGCTCGCATAGTAGGACCTTGACCGACTAGTCACTATGACACAATCGCCGAGGAACTCCCCTCTGCAGGAAGCAACGGCGACCCTCCGAGCATGGCGGACCGGGACAGGGTCATAGCAGACGTGGCGACGGCGCAAACACGGTTGACTCAGAAGCCCACGTCACCGGGGCTTAGCGCTCGGCTGGTCCTCCTGTTACCCTCAGATGCTACACTTGATCTTAGCCAAAAGGCCGAGAAAGGTATAAAAAAAAGAGATTCGTCACAGGCACGGCCTTGCCTGCAGGTACTAAAAAAAAAAAAAAAAAAAAAAAAAAAGGCAGTGTGACCGAACGAAACCGCTCTAGTACCTCTGCCAGTGTTGGGAAATTAGGGAAAACTGGCAGTTTTCCCAAGCGCCTGAATTTTCGGAGGTCAGGCCCGACGACGACTGCCGTTGATAAATCTGATCGGCGGCCGTCGTTTCGTTTCGGCCGCTGCAAAGGTCGGACGCCTACCCGCTATTATTCCCAGCGTCCCAGATACTGTTTTTTTTTGTCCCCCAAACCCTGTTTGTGTAGTGTGAGTATGCCCTGAGGCTGTCTTATCCTTCAAGGGCCCAGTAATTAGTATTAGCAGGGATCAGGCCTCATCCTGGGGATGGTCATGGCGGCTATGGCTATGGTGGCCGCCGCGGGCGGCGTCCTGAGCAGTTGTGCAGCGACCAGTCGTTCACACCTCGTCTCAAACCCTATCGAGCAGGGAGGAGGAGGAGGAGGAGGGAGGGGGCCTGCGACGTGCGCAAAGGCGGCCGGCGATGGCGTTAGCAGGATCAGCGGACGGCGAGGTGCGCGGCTGGAGGCACTGGCCGTAGACGGTTGCAATAATGCCACGTGTCGCTTTGCCATTGCACGGGACAGCGCAAGGGGGGAGGAAGTCGACGGGGGGGGTCAAGATGAGAAGAGAGAGACCGCAGAAGGAGAGGACATGGAAAGAGGGTTCATCCGGTTGATGGCCTGTCAGAGTGATCGCGGCAGACGTGGCGGTCTAGGAGGCCGCCACGTGGCAAACGCCTGGCGGCCTGTTGTCCGCTTCCCAGCTGGCCAATTTTCCTTCCCCCACCCATCTTCAGCCCCTTATCCTGCTACTGCCACGTCAGCTAATCATCTCAATCGGGTCATTGATCGGCTTCTTACCAGTGGGATGGGCCGGCGGCGGCCTCGGCCTAACCTCTCGTCGCGATCCCAATGGGAGGATGACGACGGGACGACCGTACAGGCAGAACCGCTAGATCTGTCTGAAGAGAATATCCATTCTGTGTTGCTTGAGGCGCGTACTGAGCTGCTGCAGATTTTTGACACGTCAGTAGGCATAACAGGCACTGCTGAGCTGGCAGATCTTGATGGGCCGTTTGTGACCATCCGATTGAAAGGACGGTTTTGGCACCAGCGGTCCGTGGTTCTCGCTAGACTCGCGAATTACATGAAAAAGCGGATTCCAGAAATTTTGGAGGTGGAGATTGAAGACGACGGACAGCTTAGCGATTCGCCTGAAAATTTTTAGATCTAATAATCATCGGTTGTATTTTGATCTCCATCATTATTATTATTATTTTTTGAAATTTATTATTACTAATTTCTTCTTCTCCACATGAAAAAGGCAAGATGGCCAAGTTTCTCAAACAGGAAAAGACTGGTCAGACAGTTTATGAACGTCTATGAGAACCTCCCCTTTTTTTTTTTTTTTTCCCTTTCCTTYTTYTTTTTTTTTTTTTTTGTGTTTTATTATTATTATTATTATTATTATTATTATTATTATTATTATTATTATTATTTTAGTGTGTGTGTGTTCTCATGTTCGCTATACACAACTGCACAAAAAAGGCATACCTGTGCCAGACTGTTTCGTCGGACTTGTTTTTTTTTTTTCTTTTTTTCTTTTTGTGTGTGTGTGTGTGTACAGTAGTGTCAAAACGTGCATGGAGTTGAATCGGCCTCTGTTTTTTTTTTATCACTTCCCGTAAGGATGTTAAAGGCCGAATGAGTCTGAAAACAGCAGCCGTTCAAGTGGATAAAGAGGGGAGATGGAGATGGAGAGGGGGTGAAGGGGAAGGGGAGAAGTAGAAGATGAAGGGAGTCTGCACCTTTCTTCTTCTTTTTTCGATGTTAGCGCTT